GGCTGAGGAGATGCACGGATGAATGACAGAACCGAGCCCAGGAGCGCTACACAAAAGAGGAGAGGCTGAAAACTGAAAGCCAACTTACTTTTACAAAACTGACAAACAAGACGATTAAAACTCACACTCTCAAGATTGCTTAGGGTGTACCCGCATGCACTGAACCTCTCTAACGTCTCATCTTTTAAGCACTAATGGATCTTTCTGGACTTTTGATGAGGAAAACCTAAAAAAGCCTGGTGAGGAGGTGCACGTTTAACATCTTATCACCACTGGAGATTTGAAGACGTTGCACTCATTAGGAACACAGTTCTTGATTTGTGTTTGTGAGACGATATTATTGTGGATGTGTGCCACCTAACTGGCGTCGAGAGTGAAAATTCATTAGCAGCACTTTCAGCGTGGCGACGCTGAAGAGCGAGAACAGAGACTAACTGGCTTTTTGTGTTTGGCAACGATGAATAAAGCACATCTGAGTTCCCGCACTGCGTGCATGAAGAGTATTGAGTGTTAGAGCAGAAGCACGCGTTTACTCTGAACAGAGACGATGAGGTATCGCAGACAACTAACTTGGTGTGTGGATACAGAATGACCTTTCCAGGTCATATTTGCAACCACAAAACAGATTTCCCCGTGCCAAAGGAAAACTACGCTCTGTTTTAGGGGAAGCTAATTTGAGAGGTGTTGACTGAAATACCTAGTATGAAAATCCCAGCCGTTGTTCTGCATATTTGTCCTTAAAAAACATTCAAAGTTAACAGAGTGGCCAATCAGCTCATAAAGAAACAAAAAGTTCAGAAAAATCAGACAGAAAAATAAAAGCCAATAAATTTCTGGAAAATATAAAATAAAGGTAAAATTATGGTGATAATGCGGCTTCAACTTTGTAATAATCTAAGAAAAGGTCTAAACTTTGATGTCTAAACTCTACAAGAAGTATGAAAAAACCAAGATGAGAAGAAATGTTTAAGCTGCAGCCAGTGGTCACCACGGTAACAAACAGTGGCTCAATAATATCACCAACCGCACACCTGTGCCTTTCACTCCCTGGTAAATTTAATGGCTAAAAACTCCTACAGGTCAGACAAATAGCTTTTGTGGGAAAACTAAAGGAAATTAAATCCTGACTATGAGCAGAGGAAGTCTCTAACAGTCACATCTGTTTATGTTTCTGCAACGTTTTATGCAAGACGCGTGTCACATGAACAAAAACCTTCACATCCAGTCCCAGAAGACTATTTAGAGCTAAAATACTATGAAAGTCTGTAAAGTTCTGTTGTTTACGCTCAACACCATTGGCGGTTCTAGGGGCGGAGCCAGAGAGGCATTGGCAAATGCAGTAATCTGATTGGCCACTGAAGAGCCCCGGCCCTGTACCTTATCTGTCCTTTGCTCGGTGATCAGATTGTAGGTGGATGCAATTCCAAGTCTGAACACTAGTGGCACAAATCAAATCAAATCAAATCAAATCAAATTTTATTTCTAAAGCGCTTTTCAAACAAAGTGTTATTCAAAGTGCTTTACAAAATGACCCCAGATTCCCATAACAGGTTAAAAACATTAACAAACATATGCAATCACACGCACACAAACACAGACTCACACACACACACGAGTAAAAATTATATTAGGCTGAGTCCAGATGAGCCAAGTAAGGTAACGCAAGGAAACGCCATCAGAGGAGCCGTCTGCCCCGGCAGCATCAGGTCTTCCACACTAAGTCAGGGCGCTCAGTGGAGGGGGAGCATAGACCCCCACCTATAGAGCGCCCAGGAAGCTACAGTCGACCACCGCTCCCGGGGCAGAGGGCCCCCACAGAGGAAACACTGGATTAAAATGAGTAAAAATGTAATAAAAGAGCTAATATAAATGACAACAATTAGAAAATAAGTAATAAATAAAATCATAGACAGTAAAATAATAATTTAAATAATAAAACTGTGCTAAAATATAATCATATAGAACAAAGCAAGTAATAAAATATAATCATGTAAAACGAGAAATAAAACTGTAGTAAATATTTAGATAAAAGCTAACCTAAAAAGATGGGTCTTGAGTCTTGACTTAAAAACATGAACGTTCTCTGCGGCCCTGAGGTCCTCTGGCAGCTCGTTCCAGAGGCGAGGGCCATAACACTGGAAGGACGCCTTGCCATGAGTGTGTGTCCTGACTTTAGGGATGACCAGGAGACGCCTGCCAGAGGAGCGCAGAGTCCGCGAGGGTTCATATTGTAAAAGCAGTTCTGATAGATAAGAAGGCCCAAGACCGTTAAGACACTTAAAAACCATTAGAAGAACCTTAAAATTGATCCTGAAACATACGTATGAGCCAAATAGGAGTTTCAGCCACCAACAAACATACTTTAAACTGACACCATTTGCAGTTTAAAAATGAATACAATCCTGACATTTATCAAATGATGTGTGTGTTTGTATTTTCCACGTACAGTTAAATGCATTCCCAATTACATTAAAGTGTTAGAACGTTGGCGTGAATGCATCTTTCTTACCAAAAGGGTTGTGTGTAAAGCTGGTGGACAATTATTTGGCTCCTGTAGAGGATTTGAGAGAAAACAGTAATTCCTACAGCATGAAGGGCTGATAAGATAAGGATTTTTTTAAGTACAATTCAATGTATAATTTATATATTTACTGAAAATGTTGTGGGAACCAGCAAAGATTGTGGGAAACTTTTGACTGTATAAAATAAGGATGCCCCAATGGTCATGTACTTGCAACTTACTTAGCAGCAGCAGCTAACTCTGAAACGAGCTCTGGAAAGGGTGAAGTAAGCCTGAGTAGTTGTGTGGCAGTGCCTGTATGTTGTGTGAATCCTCACAGTAACGACGTCTGGTTGGGTAAAGTACACAAAACAAATCTGTTAGTCACAGCTGATCGACGGTCCTGAAGCAGACGCACATTTCACCTCAGGGAACCAACAGAAGCTCTCTACATAACTGGTTAATTCAGAATAACGTAGATCCAACAGTTTGGTTCATCTTCTTGTCATCTGAAGAACGACTTGGTCTGCAAAGAAAACGAGCCACTGTTTAATGGTCCTACTGTTACGCCTGGCTGAGGCAAATAGCTCCAAAGTTGGCGGGGCTTTCTCACCTATATGTCAAAATCCAGCTCTTTCAGGTTTGGTATACATTTAATGTACCAAAGCCTAAAGTCACTGCACATTCCTTAAACGTGAGCCGCTGTTTTATTTGCATGAATGGCATTCTTGTCGAAAAAGTGCTTGCAGGGCAAAAATAATCGATATGAGTTGAGATTCGTGAACAGGATGGTTGTAAGGGTGATTGAAAGCTCATGCACTGACAGAGCTGCGTCTTAGGTATTTATGAGACGATTCTTTAAATTCCAGCAAATGAGATGAACACATTTGTCTTATTTTAAATAAGTTATTAGTGATAGACGGTCATCAGCCTTGTAAATAATATCACTATGAAAACCACAGTAGATATAAAGCATATAAGGCCCTAAAATTCTCATGATCCTTTTTTGATTCATCAAAACTAACACAAATGCAGCATTTCTACTACTAATTAAATTTCTGCCTTGTTATTTACATCCAGTCCTCTTGATCTGGATTCACAGCAACAGAAAAAGACAATCATGAAATCAGTACCAGCTACAAAATCCTGACAGCCCAATGAAGCAGGTGGTGGTGAGACTAAGGCCCTGTCCACACGTAGCCGGGGATCTGCCAAAACGTAGATATTTTTCTACGTTTTGGCCTGTCATCCACACGAAAACGGAGTTTTTTCACACGAAAACGGATCTTTTTAAAAACTCCGGCCAAAGTGAAGATCTGCGTTTTCTCCGTTTTGGGTGTCTGCGTGTGGACGGATAAAACCAGAGTTTTAAGGTCCGCAACGTCACTTTCCGCGACAAAAAATGCTGACATCACGTGTGCGACCTGTGTTTACACTAGCCGACATCATGGAAGCCTTCAGAGCTGCGCTCTGTCACTACCCGATCCATCAATTGCCCAAGCGCTTTCTGCTTGTTTGTTTTTGCAAGCGGAATTACTGCTCCTTGCGGAAGACCACAGACGAAGGACGAAGATAAGAACGGGGGAAGTACTGCCCCCTACAGGTCTGCAATGTCCTTAACAACGTATTTATCCGGGTACGACTGTGGACAGAGTTTTTTTTAAAACGAGGTGGTGTGGATGCAAGTTTTTGGAGGGGCGGATATTCGTTTTCAAAAAAACCCGGCTACGTGTGGACTAGGCCTAAGGCATCAGCACCACTGAGTTGTTTCACCTGCTGTTTATCAGTGCACACTTTAATGGAAGGAATGCATTTAAACTGTTAAACTAAAAATTAAACTCCTTTTTCCAAAACTTTGGGGAGGTTTTACAAACGAAAACTGTTTTAGATCATTCTTTAGAGTCACTATGGAGACCATCAAGTGCCAAGTGAAAAAAAAACAATCTAAAAGTTGTGGGAACCTATTTCCTCCTATAAGCGAAAGGATTGTTTATTGTTAACAGACAACTCTTCTGTTACAGGCGGAGTAATAAGGCGTTGGTTGGGTTCAGTCAAGTAGAAAAATTGGGAAGATTCTCATTTCCAGGATCAATACCTTCCAGAGGACCTCTTGTTTGATCAAAAACGTCACTTCCACCATGCAATGGGAGAAAAACAATCAGCTTCAAGCTCATGTAAACCCAAACAGACGGCACTGAGCCCAGAGCTAAAGAAACATTAATAAAGAGTAAAATAAAACTGGAAAAATGCTAAAAATACAGATTTTGCAACTTATACACAACCCAAATCCTGGTTAACCAGCCAGTGTTGTGTAGACTTTTGCATCCCCTGTTCCAGCCAAACACTGAGAGCTCATAAGCACTCCACATACAGCACACACATGACCATACTTGACCCTCAAAAGGCACTGTAGTTCTCTGTGAGCCTTTCACAGCTAATAGTGGATGAGGCGGACATTTGTCTCACATCATACATCAGTTTATGAATGAATGTAACTCACATCTGTGTCGGGACCTTTGTCTGCTCCAGGACAGGAGAAGCTGACGAACTCATGACACCGTTTGTGGACCACAAAACAGCACACTGAAAGAAAAATCAGGAAAAAAGAGATTTTAACAAGAATTTTCAGAACATGGAAGCCTGCTTATCCCATCAAACTCGTACATGCTCACAAAGTGCATTCATCCAGTAAATCTTCAACTTCTTAGGGGGAAACATTTTAAAAACACACACGCAAAGTATGATATTCCAATTGTTTTATGCAAGCTGTCGAGCAAACGATGTGGACACAGAGGAAGGAACAGTTTGTGAAAGGCCAGGCAATGTGCAAGTAGATCATCATCAATCAACCTCAACGTCAATTTGGCAAGCTGCTCTTGTGCCGACACACCAACAAACAAATGCACCAATAAAAACAAACCTGCTCACGCACGCACACACACACACACACACACACACACACACACACACACACACACACGCACACAAAATGTCAGTATGTCATATGGCGTGTTCTGCAGCTCTTGGCTTTTTCCAATCTGCCGGGGTTAATGCCACTTGTAATATCATCTTCCACTGAACTGAGATCTGTCTCTATCGAAGTGTCAGTCATGGCTTACATGACACCTGACTCTTGATCTCTTGTCAGCAGCGGTGGCATTTACACTTGGACGCTGCAGCAGATCCAGAGAGAAGAGCAAGAATCGAGGACATCTGTGACCGCCTGCATACAAGCTGACTGCATTTTTTTCTCTGCCTTTCTTTGAAACTCACCATTCTTCTCTTGTCTGTTCTCACTCAGTCCGTCTGCTTCACTCGTCGTCAGCCTGCCTGCTTGTTCTTGTGTGCTTTTGTACTCTAACACTACAATATATATGTGTGTGTGTGTGCATACATGCAAGTGTGCGCCTGTGTGTGTGCCAGCTACGTAACAGTTGCCAGACAATCTGACGAGCACTCATGAAACAACAGAAAATGGTTTAATGAAAAGTCCAAGAAACCGCGGGGGTTCCACAGTCGGTGGGAACGTGTTCAGATGGACGGATGGACTGCTGCACCAGTGAGACTTTGACCATTCCAACTCGTCTTTTATTAAACACAAAACAGGTGTGAGAGGGATGAAAAACTCTGCAAACGTACAGCCTACAGAGACTCAGTCTCGTTATTCTTGCCAGTTGTTGCTTTCATGGTGTAAACTACGGAAAATGTCTGCACAAGTGAAAGAGCGCCTTCAGCAGATTTTCTTCCATGCTGGCAGCGATGAAGAACAGCAGATAGTTCAGCATCAATAACTCAGATTTCATTAAAGTTAGCTCACCCAGAAAAACACCACTGGTGATAAAATCACACCTGACTATTCCATAAGTTTGACTCTAAATGCTCAATCTGTAAAACTATAAATTTCTTTCTTAACCACCTGATGAGTTAAAGTATGAGCATGAGTACAAAAGTGAGCCAAAGCAATAAAACATATTTTTCTAATTGTTTTGAAGCTTCAAATATAAACACGCACACGTCAGCGTACTGTGGGAAGGTGCCACAGTGCCAGATTTGGTGTCATCTTAGCAGTTCTTCTCTTCTTCTGTGGTTTTACTACCATTAGTTTGTTGTGGCTCGGAAATCAGCAATCAAAATCTCTCCTACCTTTGTAGGTCTTTAAGGTCGGGTCCATCTGAATCAGAGGCAGGAGTTTCTGAGTCACAACGTATTTACAGGGAAAAATGGTTTTTCCATTTCTTGTCAGTGTGACGGAACACGTCTGACCAGAGTTTCACGTACGCTGCTGAACATAAAGGATGCTTTCCCTTTTGACTAAAATAACTGATTTTAGGTATAAAACTCTACAGAAACATAATTTTATTTCCTGCAGAGCAGGGGTGGTCAACTCCCTTCCCCCAGGGTCGGCACCCAGCATGTTTTAGTTGTTTCCCTCCATCTTTTAGTTCTTTTTAAAACACAGGAAGGTTTTATTTACCTGCGACGTTTCGTTTGCGGCTGCAAACTTTGTCAGGCTGACGCTGATGGTGGTGTCACTTCCTTCTCCGTTTATCTGCGGGCAGCAGAGGACGTTGTCGCCCTCTGCTGCCCGCTCTCCCCTCTATGATGATGCAGTCCCATGCACGATCCAACGAGTAAACTCCATTGTCTCTGTTCATGGTCCCACATCCACGTCTCCTTATCTCGATAGCTTCTTTAATCCATCTTTTGTATTTCTATTGTTCGGTGTTTATGATCCTTGTGAAACTCTCCCCTCTTCTGACATAAGTTATTTTCACGTTTTATTAGTCCTACTCTTTTTTCATGTCTTTCTCTCCCTTTGAATGCCTTCAATATTTGCTCTGCTTTCTGTTTCCGTTTCCTGTCAGTGCTCCTGTGCTTGTGCCTTTCTTTTTTTTCTGTTTTCCATTTTGGTCTATGTTTTCCTCCCTTTAAACATTTTACATCGTCTTTCCTTTTCTGCTTCCTTTTGATGTTTACATTGAAAAATGACGTCACTTTTGGAAGTGAAGATAAAAGCTTTTTTAAAGCAAGCTGCTTCTTTCTCTTATTGGAGCCACTAGGATAACTCCATTTCATGCTTAATGTTTTGACAACCGCTTCGAGTTTGTTACGAACGCTCGCACCTCTCTTCTTCTTCTTCTTCTTCTGCTTTCTCTTCTTCTTATTTATGGTCTTATGGCAGTTGGCAAACAACAACTTGGTGCATTACTGCCACCAACTGGATTGGAGTGGAATGACTACAAATCACTTCCTGTTTGTGCATCGGCGTCTTAAAGGAATAGTCCATTGTGGCATTAACAGAGGGGTGCCAGCAGTCAGGGCTAGGGGGCCCCCCCAACATAAGGGGGCCCCAGGCGGCCGCCGACCCATGCCTAAAGGTAAAACCGCCACTGTCTGGTGCTGACCTCAGGTCAGGTATTTTCAACTTAAATGTGTCTCTAATTATACCTAGTTCAACTTTTGACACTTCTACTCCCCATTCTGCAAAAGTGATTCCAGTTTTCTACCATGCTGGGTAAATAAAAATGATTCAGTCATGCACAAAACATCAAATCACATTTACTCCTCTAGATTAATAGTGAGAGTAACCATTAGGTTTGTTTTTCCCTACACACACACACAGACACACACACACACAAACACGCGCACACACACACACACACACACACACACACACACACACACACACACACACACACACACACACACACACACAACCCATTTCTTTATATTCAACAAGGTTTGTGGTTCTGTCCCTCTCTCTCTCTCTCTAACCCTCTCGCTCATCCACACCTCTATTTTGTGTCAATTTCAGAGCCGTATGAGTGTCTGTTGGAGCTGACTTGACTTGAACAACGGTACAGTGGAATGGGTAAACCTAGCTTTCAGCAGTGTGTGTTTGTATCAGTGTGAGTGGTTCAGTAAAGCCTTTCCAAGATAGAGACTGTGTTTTTGTGTGCCGATTATCCCTGGCATCAACTTTTAGTTGCATGCATGGACGATGAAACATGAATCTAAAAGCTTTCAGAGGCACACGAGCCAATATGCTGGGATGACAAAAACACTGAGGGTCTTCAGAGATTATGGAAGTCTGCAAACACCACGATGAAATAAAGCAAAATAAATCATGTTTTGTTTCGGGAATTAGATTTTGATGGGATATAAAAAATATCGGGGTCTTGTTCACGAGTGAGGGAAAACTGGAACGTGAGATCGATAGGCGGATTAGTGCTGCATCTGCAGTGATGCGGGCGTTGTACCGGTCTGCCGTGGTGAAGAGAGAGCTGAGTCAAACGGCGAAGCTCTCGGTTTACCGGTCGATCTACGTTCCTAACCTCACCTATGGTCACGAGCTTTGGGTAGTGACAGAAAGAACGAGATCGCAGATACAGGAGTCCGAAATGAGTTTTCTCGGCAGAGTGGATGAGCTCTCCCTTAGAGACAGGGTGAGAAGCTCGGTCATCCGGGAGGGGCTCGTAGTAGATTCGCTGCTCCTCCACATCGAGAGGAGCCAGTTGAGGTGGCTTGGGCATCTGGTCAGGATGCCTCCTGGATAACTCCCTGGTGAAGTTTTCTGGGCACGTTCAACTGGGAGGAGACCCAAGGGTAGACCCAGGACACGTTGGAGGGACTATGTCTCTCACCTGGACAGGGAACGCGTTGGGATTCCCCCGGAGGAGCTGGCCCAAGTGGCTGGGGAGAGGGAAGTCTGGGCCCCTAGAATTAGGCTGCTGTCCCCGCGACCCGACTCCTGATAAGCAGATGAAAATGGATGTGGATGGATGGATGGATGGATGGAAATAAAATTAAATTAACAGTGACTTATTTCTACTGAGAAACGCGGTTAGAATAAACTCGTAGAAAGCAGACTGGTAAATTACCAGTAGCACTCAGGTCAAATTAAAAGGGGACACATTATGACTATTTTTCTTAAGTTATAATAGTTCCATCTATTTACAAAAAACAGGAACTTAATGAAACTTTTCCATTTTCCTGCATGATAAGAGAAAATAAAAGTAGTTCAGAACCGAGGTCAGGATCTGGCAGCAGCAATGAGTTCACTTGTCTCCGGAGGTTTCAGCTCTTTTACAGACAGTTGTGGTAAGCCAAAGTGACATGGTGGTATATTATATGTTCAGGGAAATTATGATTAATCACTATGTGCTTTATTTCTCCTGCTTAACAGCATATGCACATAAATAAGGTGCTTTGACAATGTAAATCAACTCTTATTACATAAAATCCTGAATGTGAAAGCTCATTATATCACCCTTTGACTTGCATCATTTCATGTATGGTTCCAGGTTTTACAATTCTTTCAAATCAAAGTTTCTAAAAGAAATATGTAGAAGATGCACAGAAACAACTGGAGAGACTGAATTCAGATCCAAACACAAAGAGAGGAGAAGCTTTGATCTGGGATCCAGAGATGAAGGACAGGGAGTGAGGCCTTGGATGGAAAGGCAGGAAAAAGAAAGAAAACAACACTACGCAGCAGAAGAGACGGAGGTTTCAAACCGTGTCCAAATTGTTGTTTTTCTGCTCAAACAGCCACGACAATCTGCCCCTGTTTATAGCATTTA